CTATCGCTTTCTCGCTTTATCGCGTTATCGCTTTATCGCTTTATCGCTTTCTCGCTCTATCGCTTTCTCGCGGAATAGCAATATTTCCTCTTGGCCACTATATGGGTTTCTTTACGATAGAAAGTATATACGTAAAACAACATTAATGAATTGTTAAACCTGACCTCAGTGGGGGAGGGGTTTTAATCATAAAAGAGAGCTGAGATTTTTCCAGTCACATTACAAATTATACATATGGACAGAATGTTGAAATTTTCTCACTATCTACTTAGACATAATTATGTATAATTTAATAGTACAGATATAGGTGTTTTTATAACAATCCACGTATTTCTGCGTAAAAAAGAATTTGATTGATTTATGGCCCTATTTAGGAGTTATATTGGAATCCCCGCCCTCAGGCCAAGTTATCAAAACAAATAGCAAATAACACCGCTCATTAGCGCTGAGGAGTACATACTTCCTAAAAAACAATATTTTCCCCCTAAAAACCACGTTTATATCCATGTTTATTCTGTTTGCGGAGTAGATGTCATCATAGTGGAAGTCCTCACCCAAGCAATGGTAATACTACCGGATGTCCAAATGTAATTTCTAGTTTTGGGATGACATATTGTTCTCAGTAACCGTAATGTCGAAACAGATAGTTAATTGGTTTTATATTCAAGTTGGGATTTCCGCTATTCAAAGTGTGCAGTGAGGCCGTCTTATCAACAGTCATTTCTGAGACATAAATGCAAAGTATAACTAATTAAGTCTAATCTAAATTTTTGCATTTATAATTAACTCTAACGTTAATATTCAAGATTTACAGTACATACTATTCAAAAGAAGTTAAAGAACACCCGATTCTTCCATATGACTATGGTTAATCATTAGAGAAATGCGATAGAGCGAGATAGCGAGAAAGCGATAGAGCGAGAAAGCGATAAAGCGATAGAGCGATAAAGCGAGAAAGCGAAAGAGCGAGAAAGCGATGTCCCCTCTCGGCCACCATAGTTAACACGTGAACCACGCCACACTCTGCTGTGGTAACGCTGACCAGTTTTATCGTAGCTTCATCCAATGCTTTGAGCGAACGTTGCTGGGTCAGTGAGCATGTACCACTTGTTGGGGTCAGAAAGGGCCGATTGGTACTTAAATGTGATTATCACACTCTGTGGTAATAAAACAGTTTTAAACTGGAAATGAATATATACACAATGAACATTAATTAACCACCGCCCCCTTTTTCGGATATGCAAGAAATGGTTATTCGATGGTGATGTATTTGAAACGGGTATCATAGTTGCATTTTGGGTCTTACGTTTGCAGTGTTTTAAGCTAATAACGTTATGATAACGTTTGTAATTTTTTGTGTGCTTTCTTTTGGCACGGCAGTTTATGAGTGAGTGAGTGAGGGTGGTCTGACGCCGCATTTAGCAATATTCCAGCAATATCACGGCAGGGTGACTGGGGGTCACAAGAAATGGGCTTCACACATAGTATCCATACAATGGATTCGGGAATCGAATCCGGGTAACGAACGCTTTAACCACTGGGCTTCCCGACCGCCATCTCTCTCTCTCTCTCTCTCTCTCTCTCTCTCCCTCCCCTCTCTCTCTCTCTCTCCCTCCCCCCTCTCTCTCTCCCTCCCCTCTCTCTCTCTCTCTCCCTCCCCCCTCTCTCTCTCCCTCCCCTCTCTCTCTCTCTCTCTCTCCCTCCCCCCCCCCCCCCCCTCTCTTTCTCTCTCTCTCTCTCTCTCCCCTCCACCACACCCCGGCAGTTTATGATCCATTGATTTAATTACTATAAGCAGGGAGTATTTATAGAGGGTCTTTGTATAATCTCCTTGCTGTAAACTATTAATGGATGGTGTGAAGCCCATTTCTGGTGTCCCCCGCCGTGATATTGCTGGAATATTGCTAAAAGCGGCGTAAAATCAATCTCACTCACTCACTATTAATGGGTGAATGATGCGAATACATCGACATGTCAAAATATGTCATCCTGCTATTTGTAGATTTCAACTTACTTTAATGTCAGTAACTATTGTCCATGACCCGATTGCAACACATGTCAACAGGGGGCATGGACAGATTAATCGATATGTTAACGGGACACTGAACTTATTAACAATACAACCTGCAGCAGATGGTCGTAAGCTAGTTTATTATTCTATCTTATGGAACTTACACTGTGCCCTGGAGACTTGTGTACATATTTATAACAAGTTCATGATATACTTGAACGTGAAACAACCCGCCCCATCAACACTAGAATCAAAGAGTACAAAACTTCAGCCTTCAAATCTGACAGTAAATCAGCCATCTCGGACCACATCAGCAACTGCCCCAATCACATCAACTGGGAAAACGTCCAAATCCTCTCCAACAACCTCCGTGACTTAATGGAAACAAGCAGAAGCAGTCCAGGCCTTTATCAACAGAGACCAAGGCTATTTCACACCATCCGCCTACCGTAAAATCCACCCGTGAAGATCCGGGTTAGAACCCGCAACCCATACTTGCCGTAAAAGGCGACTATGCTTGTCGTAAGAGGTGACTAACGGGATCGGGTGGTCAGGCTTGCTGACTTGGTTGATGCATGTCATCGTATCCCAATTGCGTGGATCGATGCACGTGATGTCAATCACTGGATTGTCTGGTCCAGACTCGATTATGTACAGACCGCCGTCATATAGCTGGAATATTGCAAACAAACAAACAAAACAAACCATGAACTCAATAGCTTCTTCCAATCATCCCTCCTAATAATTTAATCAGGTTTATTGACTTCCTATTAATTGGCTTCCTCATCCTGTGTTCTCTGACCATCATGTTACAGTATTCTCCTTCTGTTGTTATTAGTTAACCTACTCATGTTAATTCCCCCCATGTATGACAATTATTGTTACTGTGTAATCCTTCCTTTATCAGTTTTGCTTGACAGCAGTATAAAAAATAATACCGAAACGTCACAATTTTAGTATAATAAAAACAGTTAGCCATAAAACAACTTTAACAAAGAGTTCCTGTTTAATTTTGTCCTGTTCGAATGGAGATAAACGCGCTTTTGGACCACGCTTTAATTGGCATTTGAAACATCTGGTTGCGCTAAAAAGAAAACACAATACATTGCATGTTTATCTCCTAGTTAAAATGCAGTTTGGATTATATGATTCATACAATTACACGTGATTCAGGCAAAAATTGTTAGAAATTAGAATTATGTAAATTATACACACAGCTGATCAAATATTTAAGTTTAAGTTTTTAAGGTGATAATCTTTTTTAATTTACGTGACCTTCATATCAGCCATATTCAATTCAACTGGAGACCTTGCCCAGATGAGGCGAGGTGCGGTGTTTAACGCCGTACTGAGCAATATTCTAGCTATGTGACGGCGGTCTGTAAATAATCGAGTCTGGACCAGACAATCCAGTGATTGATATCATGAGCATCGATCTACACAATTGGGATATGATGACATGCATCAACCAAGTCAGCGAGCCTGACCATCCGATCCCGTTAGTCGCCTCTTACGACAAGCATAGTCACCTTTTACGGCAAGTTTGGGTTGCTGAAGATCTTTTCTTAAAACGACATACGAGCATAGATTGGATATGCAACTTATAACACACTCATTCTAACAGCTTCCATGGGCGTCATTTTGATTGAAAATGTATTTAGCAAACATACTTATGATCTTAACATTTGAAAAAAAAGATATAACCTATCGTTTTTTTGGGAGAAGGGACAGATGTGATCACTGTATTGTTCACTGAACTGTGCTGTGGTGGCAGTTATTCTGAAGTTTCAAGCATAAAAGGTTTACAAAGTTGTAGCCAGAGATATGTACGGCATGTTCTAGAAATGATGTTGATATGTTCAGTGATGAGTGAATGTAGTTTTACACCGCTTTTAATATATCAATATTCTCTTTAGCAACATTCCAGCAATATAACCGCGGGGGACACCAGAAATGGGATTCACACAGAGTACCCATGTCGGGAATCGATCCCGAGTCGTATGCGTAACGAGCTAAAGTTTTAACCACTAGGCCAAACCACCGCCCCCGACATGTTCGGTGGCTTTGTGGTGGTGAGGTGAACTGAAGTTTAATGTCGCGTCCAAGATTATTGCACTTATATAGCTGCTTGTACTGGTCCGGACTGATGCCGATTAATAGTGCTAGCACACTGAGATGCCATGCCGCAGTGTAACATGAATATCCCACTCAGACACAGTACACTGACACCGAGCCGACCAGTCCTTCTTTTAGCCCTTTAACAACAAGTAACATCTTTTGCTATGACGAGGCTTGAATCGTAACAGCAGGACAGGTGGACGGATGAACAACGGACGAAAACGGTAAACCATGTCTTCATATCGACGATGTCAGGGTTAAGCTGAAACTGACGACTATTCAAAATTATTAATTTGCTTTGTTTACAGGATAACATTAACGGCCTTAAATTGAGTGTTGTCGTGTTGCTGTACACGACGAAGTTATTTGGATTTTGATTTAAAAAAAAATAAAAGAAATTGTCGCATGGAGCAAATTTAATATCAAGATCAAAGGTAGAAACTTGTGCTAAATTCAGCGGGCTTGGAAGTTATAATGGAACGTTGGCGGATGTGCGGACGAAATTACATAACCTCCTTCCTATTCCTAGTCCGCACACAGCCACAGCCACACGCTCCCATACAAACACGCAATATCTTGTCGATGTGCTTTATCCCTTAAAATTGTGCCTGAATACCATAGTCCCACCGACTGTGACCGCTGAGGCTGTATAAGAACCGCATGACAGCCACAAGGGATCACGGTACGGTGATATTAGACAATATCCGGATTATACACTGCACAAGCCTCTCAACGTCACCAGCTCACGCACTCGACATGCATCGCGGGGCCCACCACGTGCAAACTTCGTGATTGACAACAATACACATCACGTGATCGCCTCTTACGCATGGCGAAGTCCCAGCGTGCCAGCCAATCGTGATTCGGTTTCAAACGAGCCTTGCCTGCAAACCAGTCATACGACTCGATGCATGGGTGACTGGTGTGACATCTCACAGCGCATGTCATATGATAGGTGTGTATGTGTCAGTCTCACACACAGACATACTCTCCAGTTACCCTGACAGTGGATATATCTTTCCAGGTAAGTCAAAAATCGTCATCTAACATTACTGCAGATTTCTTATAAGAAACTCCAACAGTGTCAATACTTGCTGACCGTTATGTCTTAAACGTCCATGTCAGAATTCTGAAACTCACCCACTTTGTGTGTAACGTGCGTGTGTAAAACAGGACGATAGAAGGGATATTGTTATAACACCAATAAAGACTTGACACCGTGTTAACATACAAGTTCTGAATTGCCTCGTGTATCCGCGATCTCCTCAGGTAATAGTTTCAGTATGCGGTGGGCCAACCCCACTCCCCCGAATCCCGAATACCATCTATTTGTTTACCCTGAGTGTCATTTGCTCACCCCTGAATCCCGAATACTACTTATAACACAACTCTCAAAAGCACACGCCAGATTTAACTCTACAAAGGCAGAATGTCGATCTTAAACGACAACATATATAGAAAAGGTTCCTAGGTCATAAACGGTGCAATATGAGGTTAAATTACTGAGCGACAAAATATGTATGAAGTGAATTGTTAAGTACCCCTTTTTAAAAATCTTGAATCTTCGTACCAAAAATGATTTTATTTGTGACTAATACACCGCTATATACCACACGACTAAGTCCCGAATACTCCTTGATAAACCCCGATTCCCGCGTACAAAAAGGGGGTTTGCAGTCAATTGTATCTGCTTCACATCTAATCGTTAATAGTGATATGACCTGATATGTATACCGTTTTTCCCCTATGAAACTGATAAGGCGTGTACATGTTTTTCCCAATGAACTGGTGATGTGGTACGTTGTCTGTAGGGTGTATATACATACTTTAGCCCGCGTTGATGTAATGGGGGTTGATGGAGAAGGGTTGCACGCTATGTGGTGTACATATCGTGGTCGGTATATAGCGGTGTATCGTGTATAAATCATGGTCGGTATATAGCGGTGTATCGTGTATAAATCATGGTCGGTATATAGCGGTGTATCGTGTATAAATCATGGTCGGTATATAGCGGTGTATAGTGTATATATAATCATGGTCGGTATAGAGCGGTGTATAGTGTATATATAATCATGGTCGATATATAGCGGTGTATCTCGTGTATATACAATCATGGTCGGTATATAGCGGTGTATCGTGTATAAATCATGGTCGGTATATAGCGGTGTATAGTGTATATATAATCATGGTCGGTATAGAGCGGTGTATAGTGTATATATAATCATGGTCGATATATAGCGGTGTATCTCGTGTATATACAATCATGGTCGGTATATAGCGGTGTATCGTGTATAAATCATGGTCGGTATATAGCGGTGTATCGTGTATAAATCATGGTCGATATCTAGCGGTGTATCGTGTATAAATCATGGTCGATATATAGCGGTGTATCGTGTATAAATCATGGTCGGTATAGATCGGTGAATCGTGTATAAATCATGGTCGGTATATAGCGGTGTATCGTGTATAAATCATGGTCGGTATATAGCGGTGTATCGTGTATAAATCATGGTCGGTATATAGCGGTGTGACGTGTATATATAATCATGGTCGGTATATAGCGGTGTATCGTGTATAAATCATGGTCGGTATATAGCGGTGTATCGTGTATAAATCATGGTCGGTATATAGCGGTGTGACGTGTATATATAATCATGGTCGGTATAGATCGGTGTATAGTGTGTATATATATATCATGGTCGGTATAGATCGGTGTATAGTGTATATATATCATGGTCGGTATAGAGCGGTGTATAGTGTATTTATATCATGGTCGGTATAGAGCGGTGTATAGTGTATATATAATCATGGTCGTTATAGAGCGGTGTATAGTGTATATATTATCATGGTCGGTATAGAGCGGTGTATAGTGTATATATTATCATGGTCGGTATATAGCGGTGTATAGTGTATATATATCATGGGCGGTGTATAGTGTATATATATCATGGTCGGTATAGAGCGGTGTATAGTGTGTATATATATATATATCATGGTCGGTATAGATCGGTGTATAGTGTATATATATCATGGTCGGTATAGAGCGGTGTATAGTGTGTATATATATATCATGGTCGGTATAGATCGGTGTATAGTGTATATATATCATGGGCGGTGTATAGTGTATATATATCATGGTCGGTATAGGGCGGTGTATAGTTTATATATATATCATGGTCGGTATATAGCGGTGTATAGTGTATATATATCATGGTCGGTATAGATCGGTGTAGAGTGTGTATATATCATGGTCGGTATAGAGCGGTGTATAGTGTATATATATCATGGTCGGCATAGAGCGGTGTATAGGATATATATCATGGTCGGTATAGATCGGTGTATAGTGTATATATATCATGGTCGGCATAGAGCGGTGTAAAGTATATATATCATGGTCGGTATAGAGCGGTGTATAGTGAATCTATAATCATATTTTATAACTGTAATGTATTAAAAAGGTTTTATGATACTAGTTTTATTTTTATGTACCGCTTATGGCATTGACGTTACACCTAAATGTCGTTTGATGATTAATTTAGTATCTTTCTGTGCTCTAGTAGTTTTCTAGTAATTTTCCTACCAATTTCCCTACCAAGGATAGTTAACATATTCACCCGTATGCCATGGAGTGTAAACTTATAAGGCGGTCGATGCACTCGACGAAGCACGTTGCACGGAATGAGCTGACTATCAAACCGTGTTATATAACTAATGCCATACCTCAATTGTCCAAATAACACGACAAAAACACGCGTTATACCAGTTTATGACTTTTTTTTCCAAGTATGCATAAAAGAGTAGTAACTTACTATACTTGATCTTGAGTTTGACGTCTTAACACGGGGTAGCCTAGTGGTTAAGTCAGACACGCGTCATGCCGGAGATCCCTAATGAATAAAGAGTTTGACGTGGACTGTCGTGTCCACCAGTGATATTAATGGAATGTTTCTAAAAGCGGCGTAAAACACACTCACACACAGATTAAGATTATGGTAATGACAAATGTATGTCATCAGTGAAATGAACACATGGAAAGACTAGCAACGGATTCCCGTGGCCTCTGTTGTGAGCTGGGTAATGTTGAGTGGTGTGACATAACGGGCCAGCACAACAGCTGACGCAACAAGCCTACCTCCTCGGTCAATATAGGGTGACTGCGCATTTCTACACTCAAACCTGTGTTTCATAACGCGGGGCTTGCACGTTGCCAAGAGAGGGTTATATTGATTTAAAACCATGGCTCTCTTGTCCTTGATCGTGCTATTAACTACCTGAATTGTCAGTTAAACACCACTTGGCAATGACGGAACCTCTCCCCTCTATCATCTACATTAATGATAGAAAAAATTCATGAAAAACGTGTCGCCAGCATTTCCAACCCACGAAGTCCGCACCGAAGGCTGACGAATGTAGTGGTTTATCACGGCGACATGGGAAAAGTTGTATACAATCACCAAGTTAATCTACTTACATAAGAACAACTAGCTTATCCGTTTATGAACGGTGAAACGTGTGTGTTTCATGCAGAACATTGTTATTCTATGCATTGTACGTACGTGTGATTAGGTAGCTTTTCGTTCAACGAAACGGGCAGATAAAAAAGAAATAACTGTTATCTTGATTTGGGCGATGTTTGCTTATAAGAGGACGATCAACCAGGGCAAGTAATATTTAGGTGATTGGTGAATGTGCTCGATGTGGTCCAAAATGAATGGTATGTTTGCCCCGGGACATGCATTTCATAACCGGAGTCGACAAAGTGTTCAGGGAACAAATTTCACGTGCATCACACGCAGGGGCGACTCACACTGTGTTCTCACAGTTAAGCATAGGTTCCCTGAATATCTTTCAAAATACCTTTAACGTAACATTGTATTTTACGCATGTTAGGTACTATGAATGTTGGCTATGGTTTAAAGAGGTCAAACCACTCCGTATCCGATGTTTAATCGTTGAAATGGTCAGTTAATGCTCCGCGTCCTCGGGGTTATCACTGACCATTTCAATGATTAATACATCACTGAACAGAGGGTATCCATGGCAATGAACCAAAAGTTGGGTATAAGTAACCAAACTTAAGGTATAGTTAGTTAGTTTGTTTGTTGTTTAACGCCGCACTCAACAATATTCCAGTTATATGAAAGCGTTGACAAAGATATGGGAATTATTTGACCTGTAGATACTGACACAGCTGGGGGAGGCGGTGGGGGGATACAATTTCATTAAAAACAGATCTTAGTTTTCGCTACCACTAAACAAAGATCTGAGGACATCACATTACGGGTCACGTCAGAACGACCTTTCGCAAATTTTGACCGACCAATGAAATAACTGACAAGAAATCGACATTGGCCAATCAGAAGGCAGCCTTCTCGAGCTTTACGATACTAGTTTCAAACTGGCGACTACGCTTCGAAACATATTTTGACGTATTCTCGATTAAAATTTTTAAAACTTATAAGAAGAACATTCTGGAATGGCTTATAGATGGTCAACACTGTATGGATATAATCATAAAACCCGTAACTGTCGTTCGGAATACCCCGTGTTAAATATATCGTGGTTGTATGATTAAAAAACAAATTCCGACTGTCACTTTCATGATCTGGTAAGCGACGCTCTGATTGGTTGGATGAAAGGTCGTTCTGACGTGACCCGTAATGTGATGTCCTCAGATCTTTGTTTAGCATACAGTTATCATCAGGTCTGTCTGTCCGTCCGTATTTCGTTGCCGGATCATAACTTGAAAACCGTGAAATGTTTCATCCAAACTTGGTACATGTATTCACCACTGGCTGAATTTGTGCCTTTTGCTATTGTGGACAATAGGACAACCGAGAGCCCGAATGTCACGTTCTGAGTGAAGGGTGCATTTACTAGTGTATGTTTGTGTGCCATCAAACTTTCTGTCAGTCAGTATTCTGTGTCTTACTGGGGGTTTACTCGCATTTATATCTATGTTACTCGCATTTATATCTGTGTTACTCGCATTTATATCTGTGTTACTCGCATTTATATCTGTGT